GATATATATGTATTCCTATTTTCTGTAAATTAAAAATTATCAAGTATTAGCTCCTTCATGTGGTTCAACCTAATATGACTGTGTGATCAGAGCATATGCTCTTAACCACTACACATGGAAATTTCCCCTTTCATTGGTTAGGGGACCCAGCACCCTATATTATTTTTGAGCTGCAAGGAACCCAGAGTTGTTCAAAATTTTCTGTCTTCTGCCTAGATAATTTCATTCATTCATGTTTATATACTTCTCAACTGATCAAAAATTCTAACGTACATTACCTTCTATTTAAGTGATAAATATTGACTGAAAGTCTATGAGGTTCACAAGGCAAGTGTAATTCTTTCCATTTTATAGATGTGGAAACTAAGGCCAGGGAGTTAAATCACTTTCCTTAGGTCTCTCCACTTTTTGAAGGTGATTCTGTACTCTAACTTCACACAGCATGATGCCTGGAGTTTTTTTGCCTCGGACATTTAGTGAAAGTAAAGAGTGACAGAACTCTGAGTGACTCGGTCATACTCAGTTATATGAAAATGATAGCAGATCCTTTTCAGGAAACCGGGAGTCACTTGGACTTTGATTATCTCAACCAATGGTGCCCCAGAGGGAGGGAACTTAACGAAATATTTGAGGTCATGGGGGAAATCACATACCCACAAAGATACATGCACACCCAGCCACACACTCAACACAACAAGCAGCACACACTCTCATTACCGAGAGGTGTGCTTCAACCCCTTCTGACCCACACCCTTCCCAGGCGAAGGCAGTCAGCATGGGGCAGTTAGGCCCATTCACATAGGCACAGTCATTAAACCACCAACAACCCATCCACTCGGTAACATAGGCATGGTAACATACAGACAGACAAATGCCAGGAATACACATTCTTGTTCTCACACATGAGTGTGTCACCCACGTGGTTTGCACATACCCTAGCACACACTGAGCCCTCGCTGACCTGGGTTCCTTGGTCAGATCGGGCATCTTCTCCAGCAGTGGAGGAAACAATCTCAATCCCATTGCTGAGCTCTCATCTGCTCAGCTGTGAATAGAGTATTTAAGATCCCAGGCATGAATCAGGGGTCCCTAATAATATGTTACGAGGCTGATAACTTGGTCTACATGCTCTAAAACAGAGCACAGATCTGGTCTAATTCAGGTAAAGAGTCAGGCTGAGCAAGATACATAGTAGACACACATGAACGCAACTACCAAACAACACAGACACAAGCACACACACACACACACACACACTACACCTATGAACACAAAGACACACAAACCCACAAGCGCACAGGAAGATCCATTGCAATGCAAATTTCCAGCTTCCTTCGACCTGTGCTTGTCATAAGTGAGTTCAGAAACCTTCTGCTCCAGACTGTTGCTCAAATCCTCAGATTCTGTCCAGGAGACTCAGCATCCAGATAGAAGAAATATCTGCGGCCTCAGCACTTCTACAGACTTTCATGTTCCTTAGCCAGCGCCAGAGAAATGATCCAAAAGGTAACATTTTAATTATCAGTGAGAGGACTGAAACAAAGTCTTCAAGCTTCTGGATAATTTCTTACTGCCCTTTGGGGAGCTGCTTCTCCAGGAGCCAGAGGACTGGAGTCCCAGGGGACCATGTCCTGATGCCAGTGATGCCATGGACTCCTCTCTTTCTGGGCCTGGTTCCAGCTGGGACAATGGATTTTTTAACTTTATTTTGAAATGACTTCAGACTTATAGAAAAGTTGTAAAAATGATACAAAGAATTCTTTCATACACTCCACCCAGATTTCCCCAATGGTTATCATCTAGGAGAAACTAGAAACTAATCTAGTAGAAACTAGATACTAATAAACTAAAGAAATGCCTACCCATAGGTGGTGGTCAGAGAGGGACAGAAAGAATGGGAGATGGGAGCACTATAGAGATTGACACATACAAATTTCAACTTACTTGTACATTGTAAAAAACATGGTTCAAGTTGATATCTCCAATTTTCATTTGACAACATAGAGGTTTTTCATTCTCTCATTTTCCACGTACGTGCACCTTCCCATGATAAAACAATTTTTATATATTAAAATATATGGGGAATCCATTCTAGTTTGAACATTATTTGACCTGAATTTTATATCAACCAAAGGAGCCTGACTAATGCCCTGTCCAATATACATTGTACAACTTCTTTAATCTTACCCTAAAGTAAAGAATATACTCTGAAGATAAGAATTAATGCCTCCCTTCTTATGATTCCAGTCCTCTTTAAAGATAAGAATGAATGCCTCACTACCTATGACGCCAGGGTCATGTTGACCCACAGTGCATGTGGTAATCTGTAACGAACATCTTCTTGAAGCTTTCAAGGAATATGCCCCTGTCATGCTTGGTGTATGTATCTTTGTTTTGAAATAGCATATAACTGTGCTGAAACTCGCTCTTCTCCAGAGCAACTTCTCTCACGAAGGCTGTGATTCCTGGGTTATTGTCCTTAGTTTGACTCAAATAAATCTCTCTTCTTTTCTTTACTATAGAATGATTATTGATTATTTGCATCAACACCCTGATAGTGAACAGTCATTCCCTTTTCCACAGTACATTTACTTATCTGCTGAATCACCTGTTAAGTAATTTCACAATCTTCAACTCATACCACTGTCCGAGACAAACTAATTGCAGTTCAGTAACTTTGTTTACGCTGTTTCTTTATTGTGAGAGTATACAGAAAAAATTCTGTGTTCAAGAGTCACTTGGGCTAGTTAGTTTATTTTCCGTTTTAGTGCAATTATGGTAGTAATTTGAAATATAGTTAGATTCATTGTTTTCTTTTATTCTATTTTGCTTTATTCCCCACCCTCTTCTATTTACTTTTGAGTAGGTAAAATATAACAAAGTCAAAACTATGCAAATGAATATACTCATCTTCTCATCTTTTCTACCCCATTCCCACCCACCTCCTGTAGGTAAGAAATCTTATTAGTTTCCACTTTATTCTTCTCATGTTTCTTTTTGCTCAAATGGGCAGATACATGTATATGTTGTTTCCCCTTCATTTTTACACAAAAAGCAGCATGCTATAGATGCTTTTTTACACACTGTTTTTCTTCCATTTAACAATATATCCAGGAAATCACTCCACATTGATTCAGACATATCGCTGTCATTATTTTTCCATGGCTGCAAAGTACTCAATTGAACTGATGATCTATAGAGTTTCCTTTTGGAGTCCTTGAAGGAGATAGCGGTGACGAATGTACTAAATGCCACTGAATTACGTACCTCAAATGGTTAAAATGGTAAATTTCATGTTATGTATATTGTACCACAACAAAAAAATTTTAAACAGAAAGCACTAAGTAGGGGCCGGCCCGGTTGCACAAGTGGTTAAGTGCTCATGCACCGCTGTGGCAGCCCGGGGTTCACCGGTTTGGATCCTGGGTATGCACTGACGCACCGCTTGGCAAGTCATGCTGTGGCAGCATCCCATATAAAGTGGAGGAAGATGGGCATGGATGTTAGCCCAGGGCCAGTCTTCC